GTCCATAAATTCTTACCCTCCTCAGTCAGCATGTCTTCAAAGTTTGAAAAAGCTACAAATAATACGAATAGAAGTTATGTTTATTACTACAAGTGAAAAGTTTAAGTCTTTCCAAAACCACTTACACTTATGTGTAATTTCTTCCAAATCTTGAGCTGTTAGTGTCAATTTCCTCATGTAGAGTCCATTAATAAAAATTATATTTACTTCCTTTCTGTGATGATCATTTTCATTTGGGAGAGAGAATTCTCAAGGCATTTGGAAGATTTTTTTTTCTCTTGAATTAGAGGATCCTTTATTAATAAGTTACATAGAAAGGGAATCTGCTTTAGTATATTGACCAAATTCAATTCAATTAAAATGCAATTTGCTTCTTTGTGTTGTGGACATACTACTTAGAATTATTAAATATTATAGAATGTTTTAGTGTTCCTATTATAGACTCTTATTTTACAGATGAAGAAACAGAGGTCCAAGGAAGGAAAATTACTTCCCTAAAGAGATGTTGCTAGTAATAGGCAGACTTGGGATTAAGACCCAGGTTGCTGACTAGAGTTCTTTATATTACACACCCACTGCTTCTCAAGCACCACAAACTGTGTCCATACACTGCTCGATCCCAGAAGATAAATCAATCAATCCAGTGATGAAAACAAAATGATCATCAAAACGCCCCAGATACTAGCTTATTGTGACTGTAATTTCAAGTCAACTTGCCAAACACTCTTTTCTTTCTTTTTTTTTTTTTTTTGACTGGTTATGTGAAGATTAATCTATCTATGTATCTTCAACATAACCCTGGAGTTTTGCCATATGTATATAAGTTTTGTATATATTTGAGTTGTATGTACATTTGAAGCGTGTGTGTGCATGTGTGTGTGTATTTGAAGTCTGAAGATTGTGATATTTTGGGAAAGCTTCTTGTTGCCCTTATGTCTCTGAACCTCCAACTGGAAAATAATGAATATCTGTTATATAATGTACATGGGAGTGACCTAGGGGGTTATTTAAACACTAAGAGCACTATAATTGTCCTACAATCGATTCACAAGGTGCAATTTTAGAGACGCTGATGCCCAAAGGGAAAAATCTTTCACAGTGCTTGGAATAAGTCTCCTTATGGGACTTGACTTAAAGGTGCAGCACTTAGTAAATATTTTCAACTGGTGAAATCTTCCACTATTGGAGAATAAGTGTTGACTATTTTTACTTTCTGGTAAAATTGTTCTCATTCATTGTAACAGGCATTATAACAGTTTAAAATTAGAAATTTCAGCATTTTACTCCTTTAAGATGTGTTATTTTCCCAAGCCCTGGTATTTGGTTTCTCAATACCAAACATCTCTGCACATATCATTAGACATAGGATATATGCAGGATGAAAAAAAAAAAAAAAGTGACTCTCTTCAACTCTGGTATGTTGTCTTTATGTATGCAATCCTTCTCCCCCTTTTAAATTACTGCCCCAGTATATTTTAAAATTAGTAAGAAGGATTTTTAAAACTGTAAGACAATAAACATTTTGCAGAACCACTTTGATTCCAGATCTTAAATAACGGCCATTATTTCTCTCTCTGAGCCAACTACATATTTGACCTAACTGACATGTTTTTTACTCTTTTAATAAACAATCAGAAAAGAAAAACACTTTCTTATAGGAAATCACTTCACTTTTACAATGTAATTCTGGCTTCTATTTAGCTCATTTTTGTTGCTGTTGTTTATTTTCTTCCCTGGGGCAAAAATATGCCATTTTCTTATTCTGGCTTACAAACATTAGATCATAACTTCTGATCTTGCCAGATAGTAAATCTAAACAATTTTGGCTCTAGCGAGGTTTTGGGAAAACTCAAAAGAAATTTAGGTGCTATAGGAAGAGATGTTAGTAATTCTAGAGTATTCCCTGAATTGTGTTGGAGGAGTATGTTATTGCATTGCGGTGAACTATTGCTGCCAACTTCCACCCTAGAGATAACTATATTTCAGAGATGAGTGAAATGATACTTGTAAACAAGTTTATAATCATTAATAAAGCTTACCAAACAATTTAAGCTCTTTGGAAACACACATCCATTATCATAATTAATTGCCTATTGTTTAATTACAACATTTAATAGAGACATGAAGTCTTTTAAAAGTGCAATTTGTAAAAATTCTAAACTTAAATTTGTTTTCATGATGTTTATTTTGTTTTTGTTAAGTTTCAGGTGTCAAATTATTTCTCTCTAGAGATGCTGGTTGAAATTCCACCATTGACTATTCAGTGGACTCTTTAAAAATCCCTAAGAATATTTTTCTTTAAAGTTGACAACTGCCCACTCTGGGATCCAGATGCTATATTCACAGTACGATGATGATTTTGTTTTATTTTCCACATATGGTCTTTTCATACACTGTGTCTCAGAGATGGAAAATTCTGTTTGTTTTTTTTTTTAACATTTTTATAGTATGCTTTCCTTAGAGTGACCTAAAACCAGGTCTTTTCACTCTAGATGGTATCTAGCTCAGTATTATTTAAGATTAATCTATAGTTTGTTTCCCCGAAGATTCTGGTGGTAAATTAATCCAGTGTCTCTTTTTGGAGCACCTACTTCATGCAGAACTCACACCAGCCACTGTGTGTAGGCAGCACTAAAAAACTGGGAGTTTCTAATACATGAAAGGAAATCTCTAGACACTAGTAAGTGTCAGTGGGTCCCTGAAAGAATGTGCTAGAATTTGGGTGCTCTTTGAGGTTTGTGTCATTGTCCTTTAGTGTTAGAAAAGTACCTTCCTTCCACAAGACTAAAATAATATATAAGGTCATCCCCTCTCCCACTAAGGTTCTTCAATGACTGCTCTTCTGACACAAATATATTGGGCCCTCGCATATCTCCACTCAAAAAATATTTAATGAGAAGGCCCTAGTTAGTTTTAAGGGCTGCAGCTAGTATCCTGTAAACATGGGACACTGAGGAACATGGAGAACATGTCTTCAAATGGAAAAGTTTTGAACCTTGCCTAAAAATAATAAACACTCTATCTTACTCGTATGGTCATTTTTAGTTGGAAAAGTATATGTACATCTATCAAACTGTTTTACTCTCAAAATTTGTCCTATAAAGGGAGAAGAGGCATTAAGTCATTCAATAAACCAAGTACCTACTGAATGCTAGGCACTGTGAAGGGATGATCCATGATACACAAAGCAGTCCAAAGAATTTAGAATTTCCTTGGGAAGATAAGACACGAACAGAAATAAATACAATAAAAGTAGTATATAAATGTCTCTTATAATTGAGAAATAGAGGGGCAAAAGGATACCCAGTGCCACACTATGCTAGGAAATGTACATTATCTCAGGATACTCCTCCAAACTATTTTAGTCACAGTAAAATAAAATAAAAAGCTATCTACAATCCAATAGCCATTTTATCTACAATGTATGGACAAAGAGATGGAGGCTCCCAGAATCTCAGTTCCTTGCCTCAAGAAGCTAAGTGCCCATCACAGGCTACATACTGAATTTCCAGCAGAGGCAGAACATCCCAGCAAGGCTACCCATACTTTCCGCAGTAGATCTGGCTAGTCTAGAAAAAGCTCAGTATTAACAGATCTCCATTTCCTTCTCTTAAAAAGCTTCCTCCTTTCCAACAGCACTGGTGTCCATCAGGTTGTGCCCTTAAGCGCAGGTAAGGCAACAGTCTGTAGCCCTTGGTGAATGAGAATCATCTCTGGGTTTGGCTTCGGAAGTTGGATAGTCTTAAGAGAATGGGAGTGCCCAGAGGGTGTCCTAGACACAGTCTTCTTGCCCCTGGAGAGACTGAGGGTCAGGGAGGGGAAATGACTTGTCCAAGGTCACACAGACTGATGGTGGCCGACATGGGGTTCAGGAACCAGGTCTTTTGACTCTAGCCAGTGTCTCTCCAGATCTTTTTAAATTCCTGTGTTGGTTTGGGAATCTTTTATCTGCTTTCCTCTCTTCTTCCATTGGGAGTGGGGGATGTCTTTCCAGTGAATTAGAGGAGTGGGTAAGGGGTTGGGGAAAAGTGTGTTTTCGGTCAATGAAGAGGACTGACGCATCCCGCCACCACTTATCTAATGCCCGCTCTGTGCCAGGCGCCAGGCATCGAGGTACAGCCAAACTGTGTTAGTTTCCAAGGATTGAAATCGGGCAGGCCCTGGCCTTGGTAGCCACCTCTCAGGAACACTCCGCCGCTCCCCCTGGAGCCTCCCTGCTGGCCTGTGCAGGCTCCCACGTCCCCGGGGCCCGGCGCCCTTCCAGGGCCCAGCAGCGAGCGCGAAACCAGGGAGGAGCGCCCAGCACTGGGCGGGGAGCTCGCGCTGCGCGCCCCCGGTCGCCACGGCAACCAGGGAGGTGCTGACCCCTGACCCCGAGGCCCCGCCCCGTCGCGTTCCCGAGCTCAACATGGAGAAGGCCAACCCGGAAGTGCCGCCGCCGCCGCCCGCCGGGTGTTAGGAGCAGCCGGCCGGGCGAGGCCGAGCCCCGTACCCGCCGTCCTGCAGCCCGCGGCCCGCCGGCGCTGGGGCGGCCGCGTCCCCTGCCCCCCGTCCCGCAACACGGCCAGGCGACCCGCCCCCGCCCCCGCCCGAGAGGAGGAGCCCAGGCGAGGGGGAGGAGGGGGGGGAGGAGTAGGGAGAGGGAGAGGTTTGCGAGAGGGAGCCAGGCCGCGCGAGCCGCTGGCGGTTCGTATTACCGGGGTCGGAAGGAGGAGCCGGGCCGGGCCAGCCGACCTGCGCGGGCGGGCGGGAGACGTGGAGGAGGCGGGGGCGGCCCGGCCGCGAGGAGGCAGGCGTGGGGCCGGGGGCTGCGAGTTTCGGCGGGCGAGCTCTAGTAGGTCGGGCGGGGGGCGCCCTCCCACCCCCGCAGCTCCTCGCGGGGCCCTGGCGGCCAGGCCTCAACTGCCCGCAGGCCCGGGAGCCGCTCGCCGCCGCCCAGGGTCCGTCCCCGCGGCCGGCGGCGCGTAAAGGTGCGGACGCCAGGCGTGGGGGTCCGCGCGGAGGCCTGGGCGGCGCGGCCAGGGGATGGTGGGCCCCTGGGCTTCTGCAGCGGAGAGGGCACCCCCAGAACAGCCGTGCCTCCGGGCTGCCCCAGCGAGGCGCTTGACAGCGAGCCCTGGGGAAGTTGGGCAGCTGTGAGTTTGCCTGTCGCCGTTAAGTGCCCTTAGGATGCAGTGATTAAGGAATTAGGCTCTCCCTCCGGGAGGGGCACTGCCTGCGCTTGAGAACTCGGTGCAGAGAAAAAGGACAGAATGATGCTGTCCGAGCAAGCCCAAAAGTGGTTTCCTACCCACGTGCAGGTCACCGTGCTCCAAGCCAAAGATCTTAAGCCAAAAGGCAAAAGTGGCACCAATGACACATACACTATAATTCAGTTGGGCAAGGAAAAGTACTCCACCTCTGTAGCTGAGAAAACCCTTGAGCCAGTCTGGAAGGAAGAGGCCTCTTTTGAGCTACCTGGATTGCTAATGCAGGGGAATCCAGAGAAATACATTCTTTTCCTCATAGTTATGCACAGGTCCCTGGTGGGTCTGGATAAGTTTTTAGGGCAGGTGGCAATCAATCTCAATGACATCTTTGAGGACAAACAAAGAAGGAAAACAGAGTAAGTTATGTAATTTATTTTGAATTTGGGGGAGATTTAACTATATCTTATTTATGGATATTCTGTTCTTGGAAATTATTTGTATAGCTGGGGCATTGGTTTTTGGATTGAAATATGACCTAGTTTTAAGCGCCATATCTGCACGGATCTGAAGTAAAAATAGCCCTTGTGAAGAAATATTTTTTAAATGGAGGCATTAATGATCGATTACTCTCTCATTTTTAAGGTAAACATCTTAATTGAATATTTTGCACTGAATTTTAAGTAAACTGACATTGTTTCACTACTTATAAGAGGACTGGATCACATATGTTCAAATTGTTATGATCATTAAACATTACAATTTGCCGGGAAATGGAACATCAGAAAATTAAATCTACCAATATAAGCTCTTATATTGAACTCTGAAGCTGTCAAAAGATAAATTACCAAATTTAGAGCTCAGTATTTCATTGGAGATTTACAAACACAAGTTGGCCTTTATTTTAGCTCAACCATCTTTCGGGGTCAGTACATCTTGATGGAGTCTAAAGCTGTTAAAAGAAAAAAAATTTAAATGTGTTTACAAACATTCCTAACCTTGAATACACGCTAACATTTTTCTGTGAATTTACAATGTCTTGGAGTTAGTGTATTACTTCAGAATTAGTTTTGTAAAGCCAGCGTGTTTAGACTACGTTAAATGCTCTCAGATTGGAGACAGTGATTCAGTTCTTGTGATGAAGTGATTTAATGACATCTTCACTGCAAACATGACCTTTAACCTACGACTTTCAAGCTTAGGATAGATATAGTCTCATTTAAAAAAGGATAATATAAATTAGCACTTGGATATTATGTCTTAAGTTGAAAAATAATATGTTTTTAGAGATAGATATACTCACACTTCCTTAAACCTGTAATTATTCTGATCTGAGAGAACCTTAAGATTAACGGAATTAATGAGAGAAAAATATAGGTTGAATTTATAAGAGGACTTCAAGTTTCCAAAGCAGCTTTGGTGTTTCTTTCAGTCATAACTGAAATTTATTTGCCCTTTTAAAAACTTTTGATAATGGTAACGTCCTTGAAGTTCGTGTTAATTTCTTATATTTTAGAACAAGTGTGTCTTATTTTCTGTACATCTTCCTGCAATCTTCTCTTGATTAGTGTTTTTATTTTTATTACATTTTTTTAAATTGGGACTTCATGTAAGATTTAATACGTGAAGGGTAAAAGGGTAGAGAGATAAGTACTAGGAATGCAAGAGGAAAAATGGTAAATATTTAATTAGGAGATAATATTTTAAGAAAAAAAATTTTTCAAAAAATGTGAAGTTGAATATATATGGATGATTTTTGACAACTGTTACCTACAAAATGGCATTGTTTCCTCTGAGGAGTTCATCAAATTGAAACTGAAAAATGGATAATCACCAAATAATTTGCTTCAAATCACCAATTTTGGATGACACTCTATAATATTTAAAGTGTTTTGAATGTAAACTTTTAAGTATATTGTAACTGCAAATTTTATGCTGCATTTTTTGGTACTTTTTATGTTAATGAATGACCTATTCCAGGCCTTCTCTGAAATCTAAATTTTCTGAGTGAAAGTAGGCCCAACTGTGAATCCAGAGATTCAGAGGATGAAATGAGGTTTTAAAATTCCTTCTTGTTTTACTCCTTATCTTTGGCAGCATCCGAATGACAGTATATTTGGCCGTAAGCAACACTTTCCTATCGTGGTCTCCCTACAGAAATTCTCTGTTGACTACTATATAAAATTCATTTGAACTTTCAGGGGGAAAATACTTTTAAATGTTCTCAACAGGGCTTGTGATGTTATTGCATGCAAAGTGATTTTCAGATGTTATTAAATCCCATTTTCGTTGTGGATAAATGAGGACCACATATTTGATGAGATAGCTTTATTGGTAATATTTCTAGTTTTTTAATATATTTAATAGCTTCCTTTTCCAACACAGCTGTGCATGTGGCACAGTACGAGATGAACTTGAGCCACCGGTGTATTGCAAGAAAGATATTTAATATTCTGCACAGTGCTGAGCCTTGTCGGCATATTCCCAAGTGCTTTTTAGAAAACCGGTATGAGTGATGAAGGCTACCAGCTGATTTAGAAGTCCCATGAAACTGCTGGGTGTGACACTTTATACTCTTGACACTGAAGACAAGTATTTACAGCTTGTCTTCCAATTGTGTCATGATAGGCAAAGAAATGTGATGCTAAAACTATTACTTTACTTATTTTTATAATTTGAGATTAAATACTTTTCTTTCTTTTTTTTTTTTTCTTTTAAGGAGAGGGAAAGGGCCTGAGCCAGAACATTTTGAGTGGGGCATGGAAAGAGAACTTCTGTATCTCCCACTTTTATGGGTGTCTGGGTTGGTTCTGGCATGAGATTTAAGGAAATAATACAATGTTTAATAATAGAATGGTAAAATCGTTCATGCTGTTATGTAATATCTATTGATTTTTTTTACAACAGGAATGGGTAATGTTGATTTTTTTTTTTTTAATGCTCCTGAAAAGTAATAACAATCAGAGTCCCTAGAGTTAGGTGTGACTCAAACACATGCAGATTTTAGGACTTTTGTGTGGGTCTCGGCAGTGCACCTGTGTCCTGGCCTCTGGCACCCTTCCTGCCAATCTGGTCCTGTTTCTGACCACACAGCACCAATTGCTTGGGAATAGTTCCCACATGTGTGGTGGTTTTTGAACATGGACCTGTGCCCACTAAAAATTGAACAGAGGCCATATACAGTTTAAAAACAGCACTCCAGAGGTGAAAAAAAATCAGCATTAATCCACTAAGCCCCAAATGCTGTGTCTTCATTTTATCTTTCTGAAGCCTGGGAAAATAAGTGCTGTCTCTGGAATGATTCTTGAAGGTCTCATTAAGACTTCCCCATCATATCACTTTCAAAACAAAGCAGCTAAAGTAGTTTGTCATGCCTAAATTTTAAGTTTTGTATATTTGTTAAAAGTTCTTTGCAGTTTTTTTTTTCTTGAAGGGTGGGGAGAGGATGGAAAATACACTGTATTTAGAATTTGTATTCAAATACTGACTTGCTTGATTCTTTAAAGCTTACCTGAGTAGTGTTCCCTACCATAAAACAAAACAACACAACACACACACAGAGTTGTAGCTTGGTTGTGTTAAGGGTATAGTTTTAGAAAAAAAATATTCACTAAACATTTATCGAGTGCAAGGCAAACTGCCTTCAAGGAGCTTACCCCTTAGCAGGAGAAAACCTGCATTGCCTTCCTCCGTGGTTGTCACTGCCTCCTGATTGAACACAGCGTCCTGTAATATGGCCCGCCCTGCCTTTAACCTTATTAACATATGTGGTTCATCAAATAGTAAAGAACTTCTATTTTCATGCAGATGTTATTCATCAACTTGGATATTTTCCTTATTGACTTTAATCTGACATTGGGAAGTTACTTAGCCTTTGTGCCACAATTCCCTCATCTATGAAAAATGGATGTTAAAAGTAAATGAATGATTTGGTCTTATTTCTGAAATTCAGTGAGTTTTGATTACTCTCACCTCCTACCAACTATTGGGTTATTGGTTTATTTTTTTCCTCAGATTTGCTTTGATTTGTTGTATACATGGAAGAGGACATGCTTAGGTTTTTTGTTTTTGGTACACTTCTTGCAAAGTATATTCACTTATTTTGTGCAAAGCCTAGATGTTACAGAATATTTCCCATGTACTGTCCATTAGAAGCATTTCTCCCCCCCTTGAAAATGGCTTTATTTTCCAGAACTGGGAATTAATAACTGGGTGTATAACCTTGCTTTTCGAGTATTAAATTTTGTCTTGTTCAAGGTTCTGTATTCCACAGAGTTTATTGCTGTCATTTCTTATTTCTAGTCCCTGTGTCTTCAAATTTCAATATTTGCTTCAAGGGCGTTTCTCAATTTAAGGTCTTGGGGTAATGCTTCCTATTATAAAATATTTTATTTTTTTTAAAAAACTGCTTGCTTTGATGCAACTAGATCTTAATTGATTGAATTTCTTCAAATTAATGAAGAAAACATTTCTCTTGTGTGTTACTTGCTGAGACGGAACTGGTGTGGATGCTGTGTGCCAATTTTCTCTCCTGCCTGGAAAAGACCCGTGAACTAGTCTTCCACCTGATGGATAGTAAACATAAGCTTCTTCTGGCATATCTTCCTGGTAACAAGGAGAGAAAGTACTAATGTAAAATTAGATCAGAGTTCCTTTGTAGCTAGGAAAATTTGTTACACTTGGTTAGAGTTGTATTTAAGTAATAACCTGTCTGCCGGTTATGCTTCATTGTTAAGTAATGTGAAAACACTGTAGAAACTCTTCTAGGGTTGATTTTGCAATTTTTTTTTTTTTTTGGCTGTTTTCCCTGTAGAATAACCACTTGTACCACTGACCACCAGAGACTTTCTTGTGGATAAAAATACTGTGAACAAAACCAAAACAGACTTGGCTTGGTATATATATAGTAGCCCCCTCATATCCACGGGGATATGTTCCAAGACCCCTAGTGGGTGCCTGAAATTGTGGCTAGTACCCGATCCTAGATATACTATGTTTTTCTCTATATGTACATACCTATGATCAAGTTTAATTTATAAATTAGGCACAGTAAGAGATCAGTAGTACAATAGAACAGTTATATACTGTAATAAAAGCAATGCGAATGTGGTCTCCCTCTCTCATTGTCCTGTACTCACTCTCCTTGTGCTGATGTGAGATGATAAAATGCCTCCCTGTTGAGATGAAGCGGGGTCAATGACATAGGCTTTGTGACATAGCATTGGGCTACTACTGACCTTCTGAGGATACGTCAGACGGAGGATTGTCCGCTTCCAGAACTCGGTTAACCGCTGGTAACGGAAGCCGTGGATAAGGGGAACTGCTGTAACATCATTTGACAATGGGCAGTGCAATTCAGCGAACTGACTACAAAGCATAAGATTTGGCTCCAATTTAAATAATTTTTCTTTGGTATTGTTATAGTAGTAATAGTAAATGAAGCTAATAGATTCTAACAGGAAGCATTTAAGCTTGCTTTTTTCAAAAACTTTACAGGATTTATGACTATTTGTCACTTCCTACATTTTACCCATTTTTCATATTTTATTCAGGAGAAGTCTTTGACCCACTTGATATGAATCTAAATTACGTCTTAGGTAATTTTCACAGTGAGCAAACTATAATGCAGAGGTCTCCGATGTTAACGAAATTCTTTCAGTAGTTTTTACCAAAGAAAAACGGGCTAAATATTTAATTATTAAAAATGGGGTCATTATGGTATAACGCTTAAGAGTAGTGAACTGATGAATTCTTTCATAGCCTTTACCTCAGTGTCTTTTAACATTAACAGATGTTCTTAGGCCACATAAGCAACGCTTATGTTAGATGGACACAGAGTAGCTGTCGTGCTTAGATTGCCTTGATGTGTATGATAGCTTTACCTGAAAAGCTATTTATATATAACAAGCTCGTATCCTCTCTCCATTACGTGTTACAACCCAGTTTTTTCCTTCTCTTTAAGGTGGTTTAGATTAGAATCCAAACAAGGAAAAAGAGCCAAAAACAGGGGTGAGATAAAGGTCAATATTCAATTCATGAGGAACAATATGACAGCAAGTATGTTTGACTTATCAATGAAGGACAAAACAAGATCTCCTTTTGCAAAATTAAAAGATAAGATGAAAGGTAGAAAAAATGATGGGACATTTTCTGATACGTCTTCTGCAATCATTCCAAGTTCTCACATACCCGATGCCAATACTGAATTTTCAAGTGGTGAAATACAGATGAAATCCAAACCAAAAAAGCCTTTCCTCTTGGGTCCTCAGCGACTCTCTTCAGCACATTCAATGTCTGACTTAACTGGGACCCACATATCTTCTGAGAAACTGAAGTCTGGCACCATTGGTCAAACGCATCTTCTTGGACGGCAGATAGATTCCTTTGGAGCGGTTCCGGAGAGCGGTAAGTGACACTTTCTAATTGTATCCTTAGTGATCCAAACTACCGTTGTAATTTTTAAAGTCTAACTTACAAAGTTAGAAAATAAAAATTGCAATTTCTTGGTAGTTTCTAAGTTTAGTCGTCAGCTCTTTATTGAGTGCTGAGTATGCTCAAAATTGGTAAGTTTATTAAAGGCAGAACTTGTCTGTATTCAGCATTGTGTTTATATTATTAAATGATAACAAAAATGAGTCCGAGTTGCTTTTCATGGCCTGGCATCTTTTTTTACTGCTGTTTCTTTGGTCTTGAAAGCCTGAAGCATAAATAAATGTTCCATTTAATCAGAAAGTTCCTAGAAAAAAAATCTTGTATGTTCAGAAGTAGCAAAGTATATTTAATGCTAATGATGACAAAAGTCTTTAAGAATTTAAGCACCTTTATGCCCACCAGAACCTCTAGTTTTGACATTATAGTTTGTTTATGTGATTTTTTTTTTCTGAGCTGAGTAAATTACTGATTGGCTAGCAATATGCTAATTATCATTAGCCTACCTACTTGTGCTATACTTTACCATTTTAAGATTGTTTTCCTTGATTATTTTAAAGGTTAATATCTTTAAATAGCTAATTGCTCTCATTCTAAAAGCAGCAGTATGCACACAGAATGTGTCAAGTAGTGTGATGTAATGTGTCACTGATTATGTGCTAACTACAAAATTGTTTGCAGGAAGTCTCAAATCTCCACACAGAAGAACATTAAGCTTTGATACTTCTAAAATGAACCAACCTGACAGCAGTGTGGATGAAGGTGAATCGTCTTTCGGAAGACAAAATGACCCATTTACAAATGTGACTGCTTCATTACCCCAAAAATTTGCAACACTGCCAAGGAAGAAAAATCCATTTGAAGAAAGCAGTGAATCATGGGACAGCAGCATGAATTTATTTTCAAAATCAGTTGAAGTAAGAAAAGAAAATAAAAGAGAGAAAAGGGAGAAAGTTAGCCTGTTTGAAAGAGTGACTGGAAAAAAAGATAGCCGAAGATCTGATAAACTTAACAATGGGGGATCTGATAGCCCTTGTGACTTGAAATCACCTAATGCATTTAGTGAAAATCGTCAGGACTATTTTGATTATGAGTCAACTAATCCGTTTACAACAAAATTCAGGGCTTCAAATGTAATGCCATCTTCAAGGTAAGCCTAACATTGGGGGAAATTGTGCTATTTTGAAAAATATGGTACTTGAAAGTATCAAATATCCCTTTTAAATACTTGAATGTTTTAAATTCCTTTTATTTGACTTGAACAGAATTCTTATCTTATTTTTATAATTAATTATGGAGCCAGGCAACATTGCATACATCTTTTTGGAATTGAACTTTTTATCTTAGAAGGATAAAAGATTATTAATCCCTATCCTAGTCTCTTTCTACTTCCCTGAGCAAGAAACTCACTGAAACTTATGAAGAGAACGACATAGCTTTTGATGAGACATGGTGAGAGCGAATCACCACTGGGTGTTAATTCAGGCCAGAAATTAGGTGATATGTTATGTTTCTAGATATTATTTTCCAAGGATTAGTTCACGGGCTCTCTGGAGAGGATTAGTGGACCAGTAGCAGCCCATGGGCTGTTCTTTAAGAAATACTCGCTTAGGTTAAGTATTAATGGTTTTCATCGTAGGTGTTAACTACCGTTATCAAATGTCTGTTTAGAAGCAGCTTTTATTTGTGAATGTTTACTGGAATTTTGTGACCCTTGTGGGTACTACAAATATATCAGAGTTTTCTATATGATGACTTAATGGTCATAGGAATAATCACTATCATGATAATAGATTTTCAAAATCTTGAATTCTCAGTTACATATATAATGGTATTTTTCTTCTTCCTTAGTGCAAATTGGAACTATATACCTTTAAATGAGATTATAGGTTTTGCAGAAGTGAACGGTGGAATAGCTGATTAAAGAAAACTTAAAGAATAAGATGAATTTATTGGAATCCTAAGCAGTTATGGAATAGCAGGGTGGAGTGTTTGCCATGGAATGTAGATTTTCCTCAAGGCAGTAACATACAGAATACCAACCTGAGTGGGAATCCTGGCTCAGTAGCTCTCTGACTTCTATAAACCTCATTGTCTCCATCTTTGAAACAAGGAAAAGAACACCTGCTTGGTAGCATTGGGTGATGATAAATTATAAATCAAGTACATGGCATGAAGCCAGGGCCTAAATAAGGGAACCCGTGAATGGTGGCTGTTACTACTGTGTTTTATATACTGTCATGTCGTATTTTATTCAAAAAGTGCTTTGTTTTGGCCCACCATAAACAAAAAGTGTAATATTAACAAGCACCGTTTTGGACCATACTCTCCCACCTGTCTTCTGATCTTCTGCTGATGTGGTCAGGTATGCATTTAACATTTTCAAGGGAAACGTGTATTTCTTTCATTTTCTTTTAGCAGCAAATATTTGCTGTGGCTTTAAAAAGTATCGCTCAGGGCGCCTGGGTGGCTCAGTTGGTTGAGCGACTGCTTTCGGCTCAGGTCATGATCCTGGAGTCCCGGGATCGAGTCCCACGTCGGACTCCCTGCTCGGCGGGGGGTCTGCTTCTCCCTCTGACCCTCTTCCCTCTCATGCTCTCTGTCTCTCATTCTCTCTCTCTCAAATAAATAAATAAAATCTTTAAAAATAAAAAATAAAAAGTATTGCTCAGTTTTCTTTATAAACTATACTCCAAAAAATATATTTTTATCGTGTGGCATTAATGTTTTTTCGAAGAGTCCATAGTTTCGTTGTGCTACTCAAATATCTTATTTTGGTATTTCACATAGCGTATTCCACATATTAAGTCCTAAATTACAGAGGTAAATAGAAATATATTTGCTTTTTCTCCCTTTTGCTAAAGTCTTTTTTGAAGAAGGTAATGAAAAACAACTGTCTGAGGTACCTTAGAGATTGGGTACTTTATATAATTTTAGATTCAAAGCAAAGCAAGAAAAATGGGAAGTGGTGAGAAAATGTTTTTAAATTATGGCAGCATGGGGAAAAATAAGTATCCTCAAATTTTTAATTGCCCTGTACTTGGGCTGCTTACATGGATTGCCACGGGTTTTTAAAGTGAGTGGGGCATTTTGCCAGACTTAGGCTTTGTTTGGGTGACTTCAGGACAAATGCTGTTTCTGTCAAAATTAGAGCTATTTCTTGATAAATGCATAAAATGCTTGCAAGTGTGTAAAAAAACAGGATTTTTACATTTTAAGTCTTCCTCTTCTTCGTGTTCTTTGCGACGCCAGGTATGAGGCCAACAACATTTGTAGGTTCCTGGGAAGTTCCTCTTCCTCTGTGTGTCGCAGACCGTGTTTGTGGTAAATACATTTGCAGTTAAAGGGTTGCTCTAATTTATAGTGTAAAAAAGAAGGATTGACTATAAGTAGATCTAGGAAGAGAGTACAGTTGAAAGTTCTGGAAAGCAGCTTGATCTTGAGTGGAATTTGGGAGGATACAGTCGAGGTAGTTTCGTCTTCATGTGGCCTGTGTTCCTGTTTCTCCTGCCGACATCAGCCCTCAGTTATGGGAGACATTTTAGATGTCTCACGCTCACATCTCAATCAAATGCACTTTGGAAGCTACAGACTCCTACCATGAGGACATGTGCTGCAGATTATTTTTTCCATTAGTGCTAAAGGGATCTATTTAGAGTCTCTTGGACTCTTGTGACTGGCGTCTGTGAAAATACTGAGCAGAGTGAAGGGTAGGCTCTGTGGCTGTGGATCCACATCATGTTCTTTGTGAGTGGGCTGGCTCACCTGGGATCGCAGGTGCAGGGGAACCGTGCTATTGCCCTGCAAGGGGATAGGGTGTGATTAAACCTGGAGAATTTTCTTTATTCTGAAAAACTTGAAAGTACTAAGGAACGCTTTCTTAGAAGTCAGAGTTTTTATTTCTTAGTTAAAGAAAAAGTAAAATCCACCTGAAGAAATCACCTTGTAAACCCCCCAAAATACCACCTTTTGCTTCCATTCTTTTAATAGGTCCTATAATAGTCTTGCATAAAACCGATAGGAGAGATGAACGGAGAACGGGGTTCTTTGAAACCCTTTGCTGCCTTGCACTTACTAATTTGCAGCTTCTTTCCGCTTACCTGCCCCTCTGAAGCCTTGCTTGCTCTTGTAGGGAGAGGTAGTTGATCCTTGTGGGGCAGCCTTAGCCTTTTCTTACATAAGTCTTAATTGTGGGCATCCCATTGTTCACCAGTAGACCTCCCACCACCATGAACAGCTTGAGGGCAGCATCTGCATTTCATTCGTCTTTCCACCCATAATCTCCAGTCTGATGCTTAGTAGATAGTAGATGTTAGAAAAAATCATTTTTGAATCCATGAACACGGAATAGCAGACCGATTTCCTAAAATGTGCTTTTATTCCTTTAGGCTCCTCTTGCAGCCCAGTGTGGGCTGAAGATCTGGTACACTGAAAACAGATCCACAAAGGCAAATATGTACGTTTTTACGTAAAACTCAGCATTAGTCAAAACCTAAGTGAGTGTCAAAGGGCTCTTGAAATTTAATATTCAGACCCTACATAGCACATTTCTGGAGTTAAGAACTCCATGTTAAGGAGGTTATCAGCTGTCATAAACAACCCCAGATCTCGGTGGCTTATCACAGTCAAAGCGTGTTACTCGTTGTTGTCACCGCCTGATTCAAGATGACGGGGAGGAGGGAAGTGGGTGTTTTGCTCCAAGTGGTCATTCAGCTCCACACCGTTATTCAGGAACCAGGCTCCTTTCTTCTTGTGGTGCCACCATTTACCACACGGCCTGCAGGGTCATACAGCGGGGCCAGAGAGCCGAGGGTCACGTGTGGCACGTCTTTCTGTGCCAGGCCTGGCCGTGGTGTGCATCACCTCTACAGCTCTTCCCTTGGCCAGAGTCCGTCACGTCCCAACCGCAGTGCAGCCAGGGAAGAAATCTGGTTCAGCGATGGACCCAGAAGAGACTGAGTTGGGTGTGGTAAGGGCACCTCATTGTGTTTGTGGTCTGTGCCAGGTCTGAGAAGTCTGGATACTGTCTAACACTTGGCATGCTGCACGACTCATACTGCACATGCGCTGGAAAGTGTAGTTGGAATTCTTGCCATTTTCAGGAAAATGTTTCATCAGTTTATGATTGGTATTGTTTGTGTTTTCAAATTGTGGCTGCTCTTGCTTTTTAATTATAAATCGCAGGTAATTTGGTGTCATCAGTATCAACTAATGTGTTGTGTGGTTAACCCCACAATTTGTAAATTAATGCTTGGTTGCATCAGCAGTTACATAATTTTCCAAAAAACAAACAAACAAAAAAACCCTGAGTGTTTGTTATGCCATTTTTAATCATTTGTTCACAGCCATGTCTTTAACACTAGGCTAGGTTCCAGTGGAAAGTGGAAATGGTGGGTGTGTTCAACAAACAGGATGTCCTTTTTTTTTTAAAACAGACACAGCTAGACCCTTAGCTAGGTGGGGACAGGTGACGAAGTTCTGGCTTATTGAAGAGTTAGAGATGTCTACCGCAGGTCTGGTCCATGAAAATGCCCTATGCAGTCATCTGTATTGCCTCTCTTCCTCAGTACCTTAGGCCAGGGTTTGGCAAACAAGGCTGGGGGCCCAGATCTGGCTTGCTGCCTGTTTTTGTAAATAATGTTTCAGCTGCCCACAGCCTAGCCACTGGTTTGTGGCTACTTTTGTGTAACAGCGGTAAAGTTGAGTCAATGTAACAGAGATTGTGTGGCCTGCAGAGTTTACTGAAATCGCTTACTGAGCCCCAGGCTGGCTGAATAGGGATCTTTGGAAAAGGGCAGAGCCGTAAGACAGGGCAGCCTGGGTCGCTGAATGTGGAAGGCCGCCTAAGCAAGCATAACTGAATAAACCTTATCTGAATGAGACATTCTGAGACTATTAAGTGAACTGCGGTTTTTGCATTTATTTATCACAACACTTAGCATTATTATTACTTAGTATTTAGGGTACAGGAGCCATGGTAACTTTGGTCTGTTTGAAAAGCCTAGTTCAAAAAAGTTTAAGAACCACTGATATGTAACACCAAATCCAAACTCCTCTAACTTTCAAGACTTACTGTATTTTAGGCTTTTCTTGATGGTCCAACTTTTCTTTTACTATTCCTTATCTCTCTGTTCTAGGTAAGTTAATTTC